TAAGACCCTCGTTTTATTTTCTCTCGACTGATCGAGTAGGAGAATGGGAAATTTATTTCAGAACCATCAACAACAGTTCATTCATTTCCTGGATGTGTTGAAAGACCATAGAGATTGACCGAACATGTCTACAGAGCCATCTCATCTCTAATCCACCATGTTGATTTTCTAGCTGCTGAATACTGCAAGCTCGTGGATAAAGACGAAGACCTGGAGTTGATTCAGAGACTTGGACAAGACCAGACTATATATCCCCGCATTCCTGAACTTGCAGACGTCGTGATGGTCAACTGCGTCATGCAGAGAAGTGCTGGTAACGAGCCATTCCGATATGAATACATGATACCATATTTCCAATTGCATTGTCTCTTTTTCTGAAAATTGAAATTGTTAACACTATAGTATAGGAGTGTGGAGCCTTTTTGGAGGTAGTAGCTTTAAAGGGAGTGTTAAAAATTGCATGCTGATGCAGGCACTGATGTATGCACGACACTTCTCATTGGGCCTCATATATCGATGCAATAAATAATGCTCTTTTAAAGACAGGACATGCATAGGAAACAAACGACAAGGAACCTATTACATTACACAGACAGGAAAGGGAGATGCCCGCTTGACTCAGTCACCATATCCTTATAACAGTCCCCCAGACTGGCACACCCCTAAACCGCCCCATAGGAGGCTGAAGGGGCAGTTTACGGGTTGCGAAAGCTGATGATTGGCCAAGTAATTATATTTGTCATGGAAAGAAGCGCTGTTAACGTACCATTCCGATATGAATACACGAGACCAGATTTTCAATTTTAATATCTTCTTTGAAAATGAAGGAATGTGCATACCTTAGGAGAGTGGCTTAGGCTTAAAGCAGTTACCTCCGAATAGGTCTCCTATTCGGAGGTAACTCCTTTAAAGGGAGTGTCATAAAATGCAAGCTGATGCAGTCTCTCTTGCATGCGCATGTGAAGGGTACCCCGGAGTTCATAAACACTATTTCCTACGAGCGATTTTAGTCGTGATGAAGTTTGAACAGCTAAAATTGAATGCACAAAGTCCAGCGATAGCCTAAACATGGTAGACATCGCAAGATATCCCGATTTGTTTTCCCTGTAGCTGAGGAAGGGCAGGCTGAGGAAGTTTCTGAAGAGGTCCAAAACATCTCCACAGATCCACCTCCTCAAAAATTATTCTTGAAACGAAAGAAGGCACCAGTCATGTTGAATATCGTCAAAATATATCCCAACTGGGAGAACGAAACACGATTCTTTCCCCCTGAAGTAAACTTGAAACAGTGGTTGGATGAGGCTCAAAACTCACACGAGAAGATGGTACGGTCCCTGTACTGGATGCTTCATCGCTTTGGGAAGCACTCGGGACAGCCGATGTATGCCGGCTACAGAATCGGATTCGAACTGAAACAGAGATATCTTCCAGATGCCTCGAAGTCGTCTATGCATGGTGAGCACGAAATCATGGTCATTTATCGGAAAATGGGAATCATTACTATTCGAGTGACAGAAGCAACGGTGGAGACAATAGGAAGCTGCGTGGAAGAGGCAAGGCAAGAACTAAACAAAGAAAGTGAGCACCTAGGGGAATTGATATCATTCATCGGAAAATGGGAATCATTACTATTCGAGTGACAGAAGCAACGGTGGAGACAATAGGAAGCTGCGTGGAAGAGGCAAGGCAAGAACTAAACAAAGAAAGTGAGCACCTAGGGGAATTGATAAAGGAAAACGAAGTGGAAATGGTAACCATGAATAATGCGATGACCAGCGGCTTGGATGAAGAGGAGCTCGGTCTGGCATCCTTCCCGGTCCACCATCGTATCATGGCTGTCTGCGGCGTGACGGAGGATGCTTTTACCGCCTCGGGAGCATCACCTCATGCCAAAGTCCTCTTCCAAAAAGATTGGGAGTCTCTCACTGCTTTTGAACGTTGGTGGGAGGCAAACATTTCTTCTCCTTCGAAAATTCCCTCAAAAACTGCTGCCGCTCCTGGCGTTTTAAAGCCATTCAAGCTTTCCTCAGAGACCTATCTCCATTTACTTGCGATGTGAGTGAATGTATCAGATAATCATTGTCAGAACACGTTCAGGCCTATGCCCGTGCGCTGTACGAGCCTGGTCATTTGCCCGGAAAACAAGCAAGATGTGATTTGCTACAGGTCTTCCAAAAAATTACGCGTCTCTAATTTTTATCATTTTTGGAAGGTTGATCTTAAAGACGTAATGTGACAGGTTTAGCATTTGTTATGTTCAGATTGTAACGCAGAGGAAATGTATGACATGAAGACAATATCCTTTTTAAAAGCCCTGACTCGAAAATGTTTATCAGCGTCATAACAAATTACGATCATCACCCATAAAAATTCAATTATCCTATGCTACTGGGCAAGGATGTACGTGTTTCAGAAGGATTTCTCTTCTGAGAAAAGAGGACAAGGCGGAAAATGTTTTAAGAAGGATTCTCTCAGCTACTAAAGTTATTCCAGAATCAGAGGTGACATGCAAAGTGTCATTATAACCTCAATATTTTTTCTATTTTGGCTTCGAACATTGGCAAGGAAAACTTCTACTAGTGCGTAGACATTCAGAGAAATAATTTCATACCAAGTTGGACAGTACTTGTCTGACATCCTGAAGTATATTTTCAAAACGCAAGATAAAAGGAAAATATGTTTCATTGAATATTTTGTCGCAGTAAACGAGGAAAAGACATGCGAAATATTGTGAAAATACTTTAAACGGGGATTTCATCTGCTTAAGATTTCGCAAAAGTCATTGAATTACAACAAGAGTAATCTTTTAAAAGCAAAATGATTCGGTGACAAACAATGAAGGCGTTGAGGAGTTTCCAGGCCATTTTTTAAAAAATAATTTTCTTAGAGAATTTAGTAGAAGTTCAATTTCTTTATGTCCTCCAAACAAGGTGACTTATTTAGAAACAAGCTGGGAAAAGCATATTCATGTATAAGTTTATCTTTTCCCCAACAGATTCATAGATCCATTGCGAGAAAAGCTCTTCCACATACCACCGGCTTCACAAGGTCCCAAGCAAATGGTGATGACTTCAGATCAGCGTAAAGCGTTGGATGGCCTTCGATCAGGCGATGTTAGTATCATCGTTGGGGCAGCCGGCACCGGGAAGACGTTCATCCTTCGAGAGAAAATACGGAGCATCGTGGAGGGTTGGTTCACGACCTATTCGTCCGTGGGGCACATGAAGGAAAAGGTCCTTTTTGTCTGCAGCAGCCCAGGCCTTTATGCCCATCTGAAAAGCACTATTCCCGACCTCTTGATGAAGTCAGTAATGTCTATCATCCGCCAACACGAAAAATATGCTGCAGAAACAGAGGAGGGAATGAGGAAGCTTCTAAAGGATAAAGTCGTAATTTCAACCTTTGACGCCTTGGTCGGTAGGGAAGGAAAAGAGAAGCCCATCATTACCACCTCTTTGGAGCCTCATCGACGGGCAAATGAATCGGAGCCCCAAATTAAACCTACGGAACCTTCTCGTCCCTCGCCAGCTGAGTTCTTCCAGGCTTTTCGAGGACTTTTCAAGCTATACCTTCAAGTCTTTGGAGAACAGACAAATGAGACAGGAAAAGAAGGAGTGGAGGAGAGAAATGAAACGGAGGAAAGCGATTCGGAAAGACAGAAAAGAGATGCGACAGCGGAAGGGGAAGAGCGCGGAGAGGGGAAACAAGGTACTCAATTAGTGGAAGTAGGCAGTCAGCCTGGTTCGTCGTCCGGTTCTTGGACTTCAGAAATGATGGAGTATGTAGGAATGATGGTAAACAGCCTACCAGAGGGAGATCGCTTGAGGGACTTCTTTAAACCGATTCTACTTTTGATGAAAAGGATTTTAAAACCTGCTGACAGGAATAAAGGGGCGTCAGAAGAAGATATAGAGAACCTGAAGAGAATGTTGGGGAGCGTGGAACCCACATTTCGCCACGTGTTCATCGACGAAGCTGAAGAACTCTACCTTAGGTACAAGGACGTTTGGTTGGACGTCCTTCGCGCTCATCACGATCGGCACGAATCTGGATATTTCTGTTTCGCCTTCGATCCCATGTATCATGATTTGCAGATACCAAAGGACAGCTCATTTTATGGCATGCTGTCTAAGGGTTTGAAACTAAGCAGTGTTGTGCGAAATCCTAAATCCATCTTCGAGTACTGGGAGACCCTTCATAAATCCAAGTCGGAGAATGACCCGGCAAATTATTCGGTGGATCNTCATTTATCGGAAAATGGGAATCATTACTATTCGAGTGACAGAAGCAACGGTGGAGACAATAGGAAGCTGCGTGGAAGAGGCAAGGCAAGAACTAAACAAAGAAAGTGAGCACCTAGGGGAATTGATGAAGGAAAACGAAGTGGAAATGGTAACCCTGAATAATGCGATGAACAGCGGCCTCGATGAAGAGGAGCTCGGTCTGGCATCCTTCCCGGTCCACCATCGTATCATGGCTGTCTGCGGCGTGACGGAGGATGCTTTTACCGCCTCGGGAGCATCACCCCATGCCAAAGTCCTCTTCCAAAAAGATTGGGAGTCTCTCACTGCTTTTGAACGTTGGTGGGAGGCAAACATTTCTTCTCCTTCGAAAATTCCCTCAAAAACTCCTGCCGCTCCTGGCGTTTTGAAGCCATTCAAGCTTTCCCCAGAGACCTATCTCCATTTACTTGCGATGTGAGTGAATGTATCAGATAATCATTGTCAGCACACTTTCAGGCCTATGCCCGTGCGCTGTACGAGCCAGGTCATTTGCTCGGAAAACAAGCAAGATGTGATTTGCTACAGGTCTTCCAAAAAATTAGGCTTCTCTAATTTTTATCATTTTTGGAAGGTTGATCTTAAAGACGTAATGTGACAGGTTTAGCATTTGTTATGTTCAGATTGGAACGCAAAAGAAATGTAGGACATGAAGACAATATCCTTTTTAAAAGCCCTGACCCGAAAATGTTCATCAGCGTCATAACAAATTACGATCATCACCCATAAAAATTCAATTATCCTATGCTACTGGGCAAGGATGTACGTGTTTTCCTTCAGAGAAAAGAGGACAAGGCGGAAAATGTTTTAAGAAGGATTCTCTCAGCTACTAAAGTTATTCCAGAATCAGAGGTGACGTGCAAAGTGTCATTATAACCTCAATATTTTTGCGATTTTGGCTTCGAACATTGGCAAGGAAAACATCTACTAGTGCGTAGACATTCAGAGAAATAATTTCATACCAAGTTGGACAGTACTTGTCTGACATCCTGAAGTATATTTTCAAAACGCAAGATAAAAGGAAAATATGTTTCATTGAATATTTTGTCGCAGTAAACGAGGAAAAGACATGCGAAATATTGTGAAAATACTTTAAACGGGGATTTCATCTGCTTAAGATTCGGCAAAAGTCATTGAATTACAACAAGAGTAATCTTTTAAAAGCAAAGTGATTCGGTGACATACAATGAAGGCGTTGAGGAGTTTCCACGCCATTTTTTTAAAATAATTTTCTTTGAGAATTTAGTAGAGGTTCAATTTTTTATGTCCTCCAAACAAGGTGACTTATTTAGAAACAAGCTGGGAAAGGCATATTCATGTATACGTTTATCTTTTCCCCACCAGATTCATAGATCCATTGCGAGAAAAGCTCTTCCACATACCACCGGCTTCACAAGGTCCCAAGCAAATGGTGATGACTTCAGATCAGCGTAAAGCGTTGGATGAACTTCGATCAGGCGATGTTAGTATCATCGTTGGGGCAGCCGGCACCGGGAAGACGTTCATCCTTCGCGAGAAAATACGGAGCATCGTGGAGGGTTGGTTCACGACCTATTCGTCCGTGGGGCACATGAAGGAAAAGAAGGAAAAACAGACGTCGTCGGGTCCGGAAATACGGGTAGACTTTTCGTGATAAGGGCTGGAGAACTACTTCAGTCATTACAGATAGTAGGCGGTTGTGCTTTTTATACGACGTCTTTGTCTCCTCCCAATGAGGAAGCTTCTAAAGGATAAAGTCGTAATTTCAACCTTTGACGCCTTGGTCGGTAGGGAAGGAAAAGAGAAGCCCATCATTACCACCTCTTTGGAGCCTCATCGACGGGCAAATGAATCGGAGCCCCAAATTAAACCTACGGAACCTTCTCGTCCCTCGCCAGCTGAGTTCTTCCAGGCTTTTCGAGGACTTTTCAAGCTATACCTTCAAGTCTTTGGAGAACAGACAAATGAGACAGGAAAAGAAGGAGTGGAGGAGAGAAATGAAACGGAGGAAAGCGATTCGGAAAGACAGAAAAGAGATGCGACAGCGGAAGGGGAAGAGCGCGGAGAGGGGAAACAAGGTACTCAATTAGTGGAAGTAGGCAGTCAGCCTGGTTCGTCGTCCGGTTCTTGGACTTCAGAAATGATGGAGTATGTAGGAATGATGGTAAACAGCCTACCAGAGGGAGATCGCTTGAGGGACTTCTTTAAACCGATTCTACTTTTGATGAAAAGGATTTTAAAACCTGCTGACAGGAATAAAGGGGCGTCAGAAGAAGATATAGAGAACCTGAAGAGAATGTTGGGGAGCGTGGAACCCACATTTCGCCACGTGTTCATCGACGAAGCTGAAGAACTCTACCTTAGGTACAAGGACGTTTGGTTGGACGTCCTTCGCGCTCATCACGATCGGCACGAATCTGGATATTTCTGTTTCGCCTTCGATCCCATGTATCATGATTTGCAGATACCAAAGGACAGCTCATTTTATGGCATGCTGTCTAAGGGTTTGAAACTAAGCAGTGTTGTGCGAAATCCTAAATCCATCTTCGAGTACTGGGAGACCCTTCATAAATCCAAGTCGGAGAATGACCCGGCAAATTATTCGGTGGATCCAGAGATGTATGATACAACGGAAATCCGAATCGGAAACGAGTTTCAGGGTCCCAAAGTTCAGTCCATTCCATTGGATCGTCCGAATCCAGAGTTAGTAGTGAAAAGGATCAACGAGATACTCGACGATGTCTTTCCTGGTCCCAGAAACATGTCAATCGCCATCCTTTTTCAAACGGATAAGCTTTTCGCTGAGTATGGAGGAGAGATGCTTCTGGTCGAATTGGGTGGCCGGAGGGCTGCTGATCCGAAGGGACAATGGGATGACAGCGACGTCGTCGTAGACACCGTCTCTGCCTTCAAAGGTCTCGAGGCCCACGTCGTCTTCCTCGTCATGCTTCCGTTTTTGGGTTCATCTCGCAAGGACCCGTTCGTGTATCTGGGGAGATCGAGGAGTACTTGCTATCTATTCAATGTTGAACTCACCTCCGTGGCACTTAATCGAGCTTCCAGGCAATCATCGGACCCTTCTTGGCGTGAGGGCGTGAATTCCATGCTGCAAACACTCCTACTCCTGCAGGAAGGCCTTCCAGGCCAGGTGGAAGACCTTTTCGGGCGGCTGCTGATCGCAAAGACGCAAGAGCACGTAGAAAAGATCACGTCAGAAGTGGAAGTTACCTGAAGGAACGTCCCAATGCGTGACTAACGTGGGGAATATTTTATCCTTTCATATTATTAATTCTTTCAGGTCCGTCGATTTATTTGTCGACTTAAAAGCAGGTTTGGGGGCATTTTGCATTCATTGGGTCAGTACCAGCACGTTTTTCATCTCTTGACTGATTACTTTTGACTGATTTGACTGTCTATATATATGTATAACTTCTCTCCCATCATTTCACGTGATGTAGCCCTTTTTTTTATTATTCTCCACCTTGCTCTCGTGTCTCCCTTTTCTGGCTTTGATTTTTCATCGTTTCCTTTTTCATTGCCACTCTATGTTTCGCCTCTTGCTTCTTGAGGAAGCTTTTGGAATGAAAAGAAAGCTTGTATTTTTTGAGTTTGCCCTTCAGTTCCTTGAAGTACTTCCGTGGAAAACCTGACAAGCAATAAATCCATGAGGAATATCTCATTCTCATGTTTCAGTTGCTTCCAACCATGAGTCTCTTTTTTTTTTTTTTACTAGTCTGAAGCGGACAAAAGAGTAGTCAATCTCTTGGATTCGTGAGTCATTTCTGCGCCTAAACATGATTCAAAGCGTATCGCCCGACACAAAGCGAGAAAACTCCTGTCAATAAGTCGAATAAAAGATCATTTTAATCCTAACTCCGGGCAATAAGGCAGATAGAACGATGCTTCCCTCTGCCTCTAAATCGAGTCGATCCCTTTCACCCGTTAAGAAAAAGGGTTTTCAATTACTTTCCCAAAAGTTTCAAGCATTTGAGGATAGGGACCATGTTCTCCTCTCGTGATTATTCGTCATATGCCTTGCATAGGGCCATGCCGTCTCCCGCACGAGATTGCTGTCACGGTACGAAATAGCTCCTTTCATAATCATGCTTTCTTAATATCATTCATCGTTTGATACTTTGTTGAAACTCCAGCTCTGTTACAGTTCACATTATTAATTACGAGGGCTGATCGGAAAGTAAAGTAAGTTGACCAGAGTTTTGCGCTGCATTTATTCTCACGTGACCTGTTGGTTACGTACATTGGTAATGCGTGTGCACTACTATTTCTGGAAATAGTCGCCAAGGAGATTTTGATATTTGTCTCATCAGTGCAACTGTTTGCCGATGCCTGTAGCGTAAAAGACAGGGTAAAATAAGTGTGCGTAATCGTAACCACATCCACACGTCTGCTTCAACGTCCTCATCAGCCGCGAAACGGCTTTCACTAAGGTGCATTTTCAATGGGCCAAACATCACGTGGAGCCTGGTCGGGACTGTAGGGTGGGTGAAGCAGGACCTCCCAGGGAAGCCTCTGCAACATCTGTGTGCGACGAGCTGTATGGGGACGTTCGATGTCATGCAACAATATGTTGCACCATTCAACCACATTCCTCAGGACCATGCCATTGTATCCGTACACCTGTCAGCTGTCCATTGATTTCAGCCGGTAAGACATTTTTCACCCACAGGAAACGGATGACAGGACCACACGTCTAAGCGTTTTGCCATTTCGACACGTCACTCTAGACGACCTGCTCTCAGATGACTGTAGAACTCTCACAGTGTTGCCATATGTGAACGTTTGATTGCCTCTAATGTGCTATAGTGATGCCCCTGGCGTCGTTTTGTTTTCGCAGGACAACCTACTTTACTTCTTGTTCAGCCCTCGTATACACTCCATATGCGAGACTGCCCAAAATCCCCTAATTTTTTTTAACTAGTGGCAAGTAAACCTACAAACCGGAAGAAACGAAATGCTTTGTTGTGACGGAAGGAATCACTATGATCTTCAGAGAATACCACCCTAGAAGCACCCTAACATATTCAATCAACGTTTCAATGAACCCAGCGTTCCATTAACGTCCTTGGAATAGTTATATTCACTGCTTAAATTTCCAAGATCCAAAGCGTTGAAAAACAGTTCAAATTGCGTGTTCCTAGAACTACGTGAATTTATCAAGGACGTACATCTTGTATTCCCCAAAACGGGGTTCAATAAAAATATCTGCTTTAGGATTCATGCAATATACAATTAACGTTTTGGAACGTGTTATAATTTAAGTTATCTTGTTATAATTTAAGTTGCATTCAGTCCAAGTAGAGCCCTGCTACCGTGGCTGGCGTTAGAAGACGTAAAATAGCCGAAGGGTCTGGTTGAAGGTACTATCTTCAATTGTCAGGGATAGCCTGGTAGAGAAACGCGGGGCAATTCAGCCGTGCTGAAACTATCATCATATAGGTAATCGGTAGGTAATAGGAAATCGGTAATCAGGCAACGCACCCACTGAAGCGTCTTTTCAAAGGAGAGATGATGATTAGTATTTTCATTTTCATCGTTTCATTCTCTTTCCCAAGAAGTGACCTCGAACCATCCTCCTGTATCTTTCGAGTCAGAGACTCCTCGGACTGGGTTACCTCTAAAGACCGATTTCATCACGAATTCAAGTATTTCCTATCTGATTTACGTGGAGAGAGATCGGTTACCTCACGGTAGGTATAAGGGAAACGAATTCAGATGAATCAGGAAATAAACAAATTAGGGGCTACATTGGCGCCATCTAACGTGGATGTTGCGAAATTTTACTTCAAGCCATTGTCACATTGACATCATTGATGTGCGGCAGGAAAGCCAAATGTCCTTCGACAAATGTCCTTCGACAAATGTCCTTCGACAAATGTCCTTCGACAAATGTCCTTCGACAAATGTCCTTCGACAAATGTCCTTCGAATGCAGAATGTTTCGCGCGATCAAAAGGCACCTCATATGAGTGCCCAAAATGTGCTCATAATTGTACATTGAACGTTCAAAGACCTCTTTCAAAACCACGTGCAACGGTCTCGAAAGCGATTATGTCGGTTTATGTGCTACTTGGGAGATGTCATTTGTATGAAGCCTATAGGTTTCATTGAACCCGTGATTTTCCTCGGCGCTCGATCGTGCGAATGGAGCGCGGGAAGCGGATGCGAATTGAGGCGAAGGAGAGTAAAAGGAAGATGGAACGCGCAGTGCAGCGACGATCCGTAAATCATTGTTGTTTTTTTTTTCCTTTTTGCAAAATCCATTTTTCCCAAACACTACGCCCCTGCACTTTTTTTTGCCATCTACCAATGCGACTGCGATACGGGAAAACAATCGAACCCTTTGAAGAACTCTCACTCTCGCCGACCCCCCGGCGCTGTTCGTGCAAATCTGCATTCACAGCCAAGGAACCAAACGAAGAAATGAGGGTGAATGGGAGTTTTTCTCCGAAATCCTGTTCGACCGCATGCGGCCGACGAGCGGAGGAATCGCCCCGCATTTCACAATCTAATACTCTAATTGAAAGAGACCGAAAGTTACGGCGGCTGTCACTCCCAACTCGCGACGCCTACGAAGTTATGCCATTCTCAGCCATAGACCATAAAAATTGCTGATTGATTGTGTCTCCGACGTAAT